GTTTTCTGATTTTTTGGCTGTTCCAGTAAATTGTAATCTCATTCGGAAATAATGTTTTGCCTTAATGCAACACATGTTAACATGTAACATAATGCACCTTAATATAATACAGCAGGCCACAAAAATATGAATGGACCCTGAACTAGTAATATGTCTTCAGCAATTTTTTTTTAGTTCCCAGAGTAGTTCCAAACCTTTTAACTCAAGATAAACCTAATACAACTGTGGGATCTTTATTTTGCAACATGCCTATTTTATGGCTGTGCTAGTTTTTGCATAAACAGCATTTTTTGGCAGGATTGAAGTGTTGACAAAGCTTATCTAGACTCTAGGAAAGCTTTGATGTTGTTTCCCCACAAGGTAAGCAGCCCTTTTACAATCTAATTATTTTATGATTTATAGCTTTTGATAATTGTTGGATTTTCCAGTGTTCATTCTGTAGGAATTATCCAGGAATAAGCCAGGAATTATCTCCACAAACCTTAAAATACAACTCCACCTTTGACAAATCTGATATTATAACGTGGGCCAGTAAAACTATCAGCTTGGCAAACAGCATGCAGCTGTGTCTATAGATCACCTTCTGAGGTTCAACATTAGGGATAAGCGGAGTTAATTTGGGAATTTTTGTTTTACTAAATTGTAAATTTTTTTGGAACATCGTTCCCCCTGTCATTTTTTTTTCTTTCCTCTCTTACTTTGTCTGCTGGGTTGTCCTCAAAAATCATACATGCCCAGCGAATCCAGTGTTGTCTGGTGTAATCAGCTGCTTAACCTGCATTATGAATCCTGCACCGCCATCTTCTCTTTTTACATAATCAGGGCATCAGCTGATTCTTCCTGGTTCTGATGATGTGCAGCAGTGCATGCATGGCGTGATGGATATTTCCTGGTGCATGGACAGTGTGGTGGAGATGACCCAGAAGCCTCCTAGTACATGTGACCTGGATATTCTAGGAGGCTGCAAGTGGGGGGGATGTCATTTCTGTCATTTCTCACCTTTGCAAGAAAGCAGGAAGTGTGGGGTCAACACGTTTTACAAAGGTATGTGATAATTTTACAAAAATGCCCAACTGTATAATGGTGTATTTGGAATAACGGGGTTATGTAAATTCACTGAAAATAGCGAAAGTTTTGTTTTAACCTCCCTAGCTGTCTGATTATGTCCATATTTCTGTGCTGAAAGTGGTACATTTTTTTGCATGGAAATATGTTGTTTTTTTTTTATTGTAGGCCTGTAATTTTTAGGAATAACTCACTGAAATCTGTCCCAACAAGAGTCTAGTAAAGCATCCCGGGTATAATAAAACTTGAAACATGAAATCATAAATTATAACATAATAAATAATCATAAAAAAATAATATAATAATAATAAATACATTTATTTCAATAATATAATCAAACCAAAAACACTAAAATTTGAAATATAGCGCCAAGTTCGCACATCGCTGAGTTCAGTCACAAAATCGTTTTCAGTGTCTGATGACGAATTTCCCCACAAATCATTATCACTCAATTCTGCAAGTGGTTCTGATTTACTATCGCTGTTCTCTAGCTGGTCTAAAACTGCTTTTGACCTAAAGGGACGCTTTTTTGACGCCATGGATTTTCTCAGTTTCCAGGCAGAAAGAACAGTAAAAATGCAGGCAGGGCACTGGACAAAGCACTCGGGACAAAATGTATGTGAAATGGTTTGGATACAGTAATGTTTTACTATGTGATTTTAGTGTATTTTGTGAATGTCAGTTTTCAAAATTTTCAAATCTCCCGCCAGTTTCCGGCCCCCGTACGTCCCATACGCCTCGACGCTCGCAGGGACCGGATCCTGGAAAACGGATGCCGGCATCGGCCAGAGAAGATGGCCGGGGACGCTGCAGGGGGGACATCGCAGGAGCGCAGGACAAAGTAAGTGCTGCAGGGAATCCCTGAGCAACGCTGCATGTTATTCCCGAGTGCAGCTCGGGGTTACCGCTTTTGGTACTTAAATTTTACCCTGAGCTACACTCGGAAATACTGCCAGGGAGGTTAAGCTGCTTAGGTGAAATTTTATTGAAAAAAAATAAAACACTCTACACTTTTTTTACTTTATTGGAAAGCCTATTAGCTCCCAAATGTCTAAACATTATATATATATATATATATATATATAATATATATATATATATATATATATATATATATTTAGAGTGGCTCACAGTAGTGAAGTGAGCATATCTGTTTGGTTTTAGGTAGGGCTGGAGAGTTCTACAGGTCAGGGTACCTCCCCCTAGTTCTGAAGTCTTCCAGAAGGCTGTAGAAGCTAGTGGGCAGAGGAGTGGAGACCAAAATCTGAATATTCATGAAAGTCTGACCAATTCCAGGCAGGAGGCCTGGCAGTGGTAGATGGGCCCATAAATATGAGAGATCCTAGCCAGCAGGGGAGTCGGGGATCGGGTGGAAGGGAGTGTTCAGAACACATGGAAGCTAAGGGGGCTGTGTCCTGAACAAGGAGTAGAAGTTAGACAGAGAGAAATTCAACAAATCGTATTTGTCCAGCATGGAAAGGCTAACACAGCTAAGAAGGCCTGAACAAGCAGTTTTGTCCACAACAGCAAGATATAAGGGACAAAGTGAGTACCTCTACCTCCCTAGGGCTATAAGGGAGAAGGCTGCCGGAGGCAATATTTAGCATGCTTTATTGGTGACAGTGTCACAGCTAATCTAATCCCTTGCACTTGTTCTTACGAAGGCTACCTAGTGCTCCTTAAAGTAACTTTGCTAGTGATCCTTAAAGGGACTGATACTACTCCGGCTGGAGTAAATTCCAAGATCCATTTTTTGTACATAAACGCAGGAAGTGTGCCCCCAAACTGTACTTTCTAATCAAGTTGGGAATTCCATAACCTCTATCCCCCTCCACCAAAATAAAAAACAAGCCCATGGACTGGATTCTTGACTTTGTGTGTTTACTGAAAATGCATGTTGCCTGGCTGTGCAGGAAATAGAGGGACCCAAAATCCAGTGGCTCCTTAGGGGGTAGAGCTACATAGCCATGGACTTTTTTAGTAGGAACATATAGATGAGATAAAATACTGCATATATAAAACCATGGAGTTTATTTATACATCAAATAAAAACATATAAAATAAATACCAGTATTAAAAAGTGTCTATTTTGGGGTTTTCACAAGTGTTGGGGTCCACTGCAATCCACAGGTAGACTCAATGTGGTTCCAATGATCTTCCTCAGGAGTAGATGTGAAAAATATCCTTGTAATGAAACCCTCAAATTCTTTAGTTAAAAACAAGAATACATCTAAGAATTGGAAAGATGTAATATAATGTTGGCTTTTGGATTTAATACGGCTTTAGTTAATGATATGAGGGATGAGTTTTCTTTTAATCACAGCTAATAAACACTTCATTACTAAAAATAAAAAATTAATTTTGTAATACTGATATACTGAATTATGGGAAGCTTACAAAGCAATAATAGATCCACTGCAATATTCACACTTTACCCATGGAGTTAAATCACTAAAAACAAACCAGGTCATAAGTGCACACAGTTTTCAACAAGTCAGAAAACCTCAGGTTCAGAATGCAGGTCATTGTCATAAAAAATGTACAACATATTTTCTCTATAGACAATGCTTACAATTACTTTGTACACTTTTGATGACCTTGTCAATGTGACATATAGCAGTTTTCCTAGACATTTTGCAACATCCTTTCATGTTGACTCAGCATGCCCATGGCTTCTCCCAGTTCAACCAAGGACACACCCGGAACATTGCATTTTGCTTCTAGTGTTAAAATGTTTCCGAGTTAAACAGAACAATAATGTAACATATTGCAGCTTGTTTGTCCTGCATTGCGCTGCAATCATGGCAAAATGCAAGGTGCAAAGCTTGTCACCCAAAAAAGAGCAGGAGCTTCTTTTGGGTGACAAACTTCATGCGTTGTGGTTTGCCACGATTGTCCGCAATTTATCGCGCGCCAAAACTGCACCGCATTTAGGTGCCGTTGAAAATAAATGGCACCCAAACAGGAGTGGTGTGTTTTGTCTTTATTGCAGAGCAATTTGGGATAGTGGACAGAATCACAGCGATTCTGCCCAAGATCACAAACACCGGATGTGAACCTTGCCTAAGGCTTTAGGCAAAGTCACATGTCAGCAAGGGCCCTGCTGTTCTTCTGGAGGAATTTAGGACAAAAGGAACATTTAAGGCCTCATGTTCACATGAACTCACCTAGTCATTAAGATCTCCTGGCAGCAGAAAAATGCTAACAGCGGCAAAAGAATCGTAACACAGTATCGCATTTAGCGCTTGGATGTTTATTCATTTTATTGGCCAGAGTATTTTCCATTGACATGGATAAAAGCCCAAGTGCTAAACTCGGCTAGCGTTTAACCGCGTTTAGTGTTTTTTGGCCAAAACATTCCTCCCCTGAACATGATTATTCTGCGTTCAGAAGAGGAACTTTTAACCTCCCTAGCGGTCTGATTATGTCCATATTTCTGTGCTCAAAGCGGTACATTTTTTTGCATGGAAATATGTCATTTTTTTTATTGTAGGCCTGTAATTTTTAGGAATAACTCTCTGAAATCTGTCCGAACAAGAGTCTAGTAAACATCCCGGGTATGTTAAAATTTGAAACACGAAATCATAAATTATAATTTAATAAACAATCATAAAAAAAAGCAATATAATAATAATATATTTAATTCAATAACATAATCAAACCAAAACACTGAAATTTGAAATATAGTGCCAAGTTCACACATCACTGAGCAAAGTCGCAGAATCGTCTTCAGTGTCTGATGACGAATTTCCCCACAAATCATTATCACTCAATTCTGTAAGAGGTTCTGATTTACTATCGCTGTTCTCTAGCTGGTCTAAAACCGATTTTGACCTAAAGGGACGCTTTTTGGACGCCATGGACATTTCTCAGTTTCCAAGCAGAAAGAATAGTAAAAATGCAGGCAGGGCACAGGACAAAGCACTCGGGACAAAATGTATGTGAAATGGTTTGATACAGTAATGTTTTACTATGTGATTTTAGTGAATTTAGTGAATGTCACTTTTTGTCATTTTCAAATTTCCCCGCCGTTCCGTCCCCATACGTCCTAACGCTTGCAGAGGACGGAACCCAGAAGACAGATGCCGGCATCTGCCGGAGGACATTGCCGGGGACACTGCAGGAGGGACATCGCGGGAGCGCAGGACAAGGTAAGAGAAGAACAGATCCTGGAGCAGCGCCACATGGTAAGCCCGAGTGTAGCTCGGGGTTACCGCTTGTGGTACTGAAACTTTACCCCGAGCTACACTCGGGAATACCGCCAGGGAGGCTACCTGACCATAAACTCTGCTGCTCCTAAATTCTAGCAAAAGCCTATGTGTACATGGACTCATAGGCTTTTATTGAGTTGAGTTCAGGAGAAAAAACGCCAAAAGCTTCTAAACACGTTTAGGAGCAGCAGTGTACATGAGGCCTAAAGATTTCTAGATGTTCCCTATAATATAGAAAATCTCTTTTTGACTTTACTTTCATCTTTGCTTTGTGACGTATTCTATTGAGTGAGGGACAGGTGAGTAAAAGTACGTGCTGATTGGGCATTAGGGGCTAGAAAATGGGCTTCATGCAGGATCAGCCAACACGACAAAAACAACCTTTCCCTCTGTTCCAGAAGTGTGGTAGTCCTGCAGATAAAAGTGTTTTTTTGTGCCAAAGTGAGGTCTCCAATGGGTGTCTTTATGTGTCATCTTGATTAATCCATATAACTGTTCTCAGTGTTTATAAGCTCTTGCAGTGATATGTTCATCACTCCATCACACCTCACCCTCAGAGATACCTGGGAGAATAGTAATTTGCTCATTAAATCGGGGTAGAGGTACAAGAACTGCCTAGTGCTTTACAAGAGACATGAACTTGAAAAAGATAAGAAATTTTGCTTAACTTGTGTCTGCACAGGGGCGGACTAACCATTTGGAAACTCGGGCACTGCCCGAGGGCCCGGGGTCAGTAGAGGGCCCCATGAGATGCCCCTGGTACCTTTTTCATAGGCTTTTTTGAGTTTGGGCAAGAACACAGGGGCCCCATGATCCCCTATTGCCCGGGGGTCCCATGAGTTGTCAGTCCGCCCCTGATGCAGTATAATGTGTCACCCACACGGATGCTGAGGACTGCACACCAGGAATGTGGAATAGACTCCCTCAAGAGTTGGTTCTGGTCAGCTCAGTGAATTGCTTTAAAAAAGTCCTGGATTCTTTCTTGGATACACAGAATATAACTGGATACTAACATTTATAGGTAAAGTTGATCCAGGGAATATCCGATTGCCTCTCGGGGGATCAGGAAGGAATTCTTTTTCCAGCAGAAGCAAATTGGATCATGCTTTGCTGGGTTGTTTTGCCTTCCTCTGGATCAACTGTGGGTATAGGATTATAACTTTTTTTTTTTTTATGGTTGAACTGGATGGACTTTTGTCTTTTTTCAGCCAGACTAACTATGTAACTATGATTTAAACTGCCCAAAGACCCAATTTTGTTTTCTTTTTTGACTTTACTACCATTTTAAATGAGGCAGTGAGAAGACGACATTTCACATTCCAGTTGCCTGTCAACCACCCTCTGAAAAGAGATCCACCTTGGAATTGAAGTAGATGTAATACAGAACTGAATCACATTTAGGGCTCATGTACACTGCAGCTGATAAACTCACGTTTAGGAGCTGTTCAGCGTTTCTTTCAGCAGCCCCTGAACTCTCCCTAATGTTTCCTATAAGAGTTTGGGCAAGGACACAGGGGCCCCATGATCCCCTATTGCCCGGAGGGCCCCATGAGTTGTCAGTCCGCCCCTGTGTCTGCATCAGTGTAGAAAATATACAAATACTGTATGTATCAATGTTCGGGAAAAAATGTCTTTTTCAAAGAAAGTGAATGTGAAATGGAATTCACAACCTTGCAGATCTTTGCAGACTGGGTAAACCTTGGTAAACACTATAAAATAAGTAGGGAGTGCACCTGAATAGTGCAAAATCTTCAATGAAAAACTCTATTATAGTACTAAACTAGATATACGTACATATTACAAATAATCCATGAAGTCCAAAATGTCTCCAATCAACAGGCATATCCAACACTCAACCACCAACATAAGCATTAACTCAATGTTCCATCCTGGCTTACACGTTTCGAGAGTGCACCCTCTTCCTAAGAGCCACTCTAACTCTGGTTGAGGGTGGACCCTCAAAATATTACAAAAAAAAATAGTATAATACAATGTTAACATTCTGTTTACACTGCGCTGATGCACTCTCTGCTTATTTTATAGTATTGGTGAGGTCTGTATCATTGCCCTGCCAATCAGCTCTGTGTCTCCAGCTCCAGTCCTTCCCTAGGTTCCTCTGCCTAGGTGACCAACATTTCCTGTAACCCTCTGTAGGGCAGAGGGAAGTGGAGAACTGCAAGTGTTTAGATTGGCAGGAGCAAGCACAAATGTGAGTGATTCTACCATTTCTCACCTCCACTACCTCCATTTCATATACTGTATAGATATAGTATATGTGCACATACACCATATTCACTAAATGTTCAAAAGTAATTTAATCAATCAAGAGAGCAACCACTGTGTTTAGTGTGCAGTGGGGAAGCCACTCAAGCAGGACCCACAAGATTGAGGTTATCACTGTATGAAGTATGGGCTACTACTAGACATTTTAATCAATTTGGGGATTTGCCAACATTTGGAGAAGGCTCCTTTGTGTTCTCACATGACTCTACCCCTATGCACAAAGCCAGGCCTAAAAAGCCATGGCTTGATGAGTTTGCCATGTAAGAACTCAAGTTGCATACACGCCCCAGACATTAAACCTTCTGAAGACCTTTGGGATGAACTGGAACACCAATTGAGAGCCAGGTCTTTTCATCCAACATCATTACCTGACCTCACGATGCTCCTCTGGCTGAATGGGCAAAAATCCCACAGACAACTGGGCAAGATTCCCACAGAATAACTGACTTTTGGCCAAATATTAAGCCTTCCCAGAAGAGTGGAAGGCCAAAGAGGGTTCCAACTCTATATTAAAGTCAATGAATTAGAATGGGATACCCAACAAGCTCATAAAGGTGTGATGGTCAGTTGTGTACAAACGTTTACCATATCAAATATATAAAATGTATGTGTAACATTCATAGACAGTGTATACAGACAAACATTTCCAAATTCAATAAAAAGTAAAGCCTTTCAGATTTGCAACCCAGTGCAATTAACTCTTTATTTCATCAGATATTTTAGACTCAAAGAGACCAGATGAAATGTTCCAAAATAAATATATGTATCTGGCTAAAGGCAGGAAAAGAATTTCTAAAGAGCCCTTTTAAATATCACTCAGCCACACAGAAATTTGAGATTACATTGTTACAGAGTTCTAGTGCCCACGAGAACTTCACATTTATTTACATATATAAGAAAGTCATATAAATAGAACAGATGAGTTATGTAGACATTTGGATGATTGGGAAGAGTGCTCCCTAGTTCATTGCTCTCATGGGATGTTGTTTGCTGGGGGCTTGTCCATAGCATGATGAGTACGCCAGCAGTCCAAGGGATAACACATGTTGTTATGGCTAAGTGGTGGATGGCTGGAATCTGGTGAGCTGAATCCACTCACGCTTCCCTCGGAGGAGCCCGAACTGGCCGCTGAAATACATCACAAAAAAAAAAACAATTATCGATCAGATAATTTCTGTGTAAAATATAGTGAAATTACTTTATTACATATAAAATATAGCAGGCTGAATTGTTAAACCAGAAGGAAGGAAAACAAAAGTGCTCCTTACATTAACCAGAAAACTGTTAAGGAAGCAAACAAAAAAAGTACTGCTCTCATGCTCCTATCATTGACGTCATCCAACAGGACATGTAACAAACTGCTGTTAGATACTTTTACAAGCATCAGGTGTTTTTTCTACAAAAACGCTGCTGCCAGAAGGACGACTTCTAGGAGAGTTTTTTTAACGTCCTTGTCACGGTTCGCACGGTCGCCGCCACCAACATGCGACAATCGCACGACTGCGACTAACAGTAATACATCACGCCCCCGTTGTCAGACCCCAGACCTTCTCACCAACTCGTGACCGAAGGACCGGCTGATCTAAAACCGCAGTGTGACACGCGTAACAAGGCCCCACCCAGCTGCACCCTGCACAGCGATTGTCCAGCTAATGGGTTACAATCGGTGCCTGCAGCCTGAATGCGCTTGTTACTGGGTCGGGTTAATTACGCAACTAACCCTTTCAAACTGCCACCACCGTCTTTGGTACAGAGAAGATGGAAACTCTGTCAGAAATACACTATACTGATTGAAAAGTGACCTGTCCAATATGGTCAACTACAGGCTAATTGGGCAGGGAGTAAACAAACACAGTATTGTCTCTTCAAAGGGCAGGAATTCGTGAATTGCAAGTAAGCGCTTAAAAACAGTTTTAACACTTTCAGAAAGAAAGATTTATTACTAAAAGATTCAAACAGGTGCAATACAATATTTACAAAGAGATGTCACAAAAATATATATATATGTATATAAAGATACAGCCAAGAGATATTAGGAAGTAAGTTACAGGGTTAAGTTATTTGCCCATATGCCTTGGTTTGCAGATCCAAGTTGCAGAGCAGGATGATTCTTTGATCTCCTTTTGTTACGATGTTCAGCTGAGGAGATGTGTTACACTCTAACTTGCAGGCTTGCTAGCCTGTCTCTTTTTAAAAAATCCCCCTGAAAGGGGAGGTTGCTCTCGCTACGATGTGTTGGGAGGGGTCAGGAGAACTCTGAGTTCGAACGCACATCTGTCATAATCCATGACATGAAACATACAGTTGACCTGAGGAATGTTCAATTAATTGCTGGTCAGTTTTTTATGATGTGTGGGCCTACACAGTTTTGGGTGACGAAGGTTACACTTCAGCAGACTGCCTGGCACCTGGACTCAGGATGTCTTAACCTGGTTGACCCACACCATCTGTCAAGATATAACGTTTGGAGTTGGAATTACGCGTCCAACTTTGATGAGCTAGTTTGCTACAGTCCTGTCTGCATGAGGCCTAAGTCACAAAGCGGACTTTACAACCGCTTTCAACATAAAAAAGTCATAGCAATGTGCCGCAATTTCATGAGGTTTCAGGAAGGTTGTGGCACAGCCCCATGAAAGTTAATGAGAAGCTGCATGTCTTTGTTTAGGTGTTCGATCTGGGGGGGGGGGTGGTTTAATCATGGCTCAACTGCCTGATTTTACTGCAGACTAGCCAAGTGTTTGAGCAAGCCCTGAAGATGTTTTGGTTGTATTTGAGCTGAA